CACACACACACACAAACAAACACACAAAAACCGCACACAGACAGAGAAATGTAAGAACACTGATGTAGTAGCCCATCAACTCACCTATGTCAACGAGCCCGAGCATCCAATCACTGTCTAGGATAGCTGAGAGCTGCTTCATCATCGCGGGCTCCCACTCTCCCTTGCTCGCGATCTCGTCCGACATCGGATCCTGGCCTTCGCGATGCATGCACAAAACGCCCGGCCCACTGGGGAACTCGAACTGCTTGCACAAGAAGTTGTAATTCACAGGTTTGCTCACGTCGCGGATCTCAAGCGGGGTTTGGGCGCCTGCTCCATCGTCCTGTGCATTAGGGTCCAGTCCCACTGGAGGAAAAACAGGTTTTTTGTACTGGGGTGGCAAAGGTTGGTTCTGGGCAGGATGAGTGTCGAAAGGAGAATCTTGACGAGTTGGTGGATTGCTGGCAGCGATTACTCCATCTCCTCCTTGTACTTCTGGCAGGAGCCCGTCCATGGGTTGTTGTGGAAACTGCGGTTGCGGCTGTAGCTGTTGCTGTTGTTGCTGCAGCGCCAGTAGCTGTTGCAGCTGCTGCTGCTGTAGCTTCAGCTGCTCAGCGTTCCCAGCAGCACCTCCCCCTTTCAGTTGCTGTTGCTGTTGTTGCAGTTGAAGTAACTGTTGCAGTTGCTGCTGTTGCAACTGCTGAGCGTTTCCAGCAGCCTGTCCCCCTTGTGGAAGTATCGGGAATGCGTTATTTGCTTGAGGCATGAACTGTTTGGGGGCGCCTTGCTGAGGGATCTGACCAGGTAGGACATGGGAGGGAACGGGGTCAGGATCAGGTACGTCATCCATCAAGAGACCCAGAGGCTCCTTGTGGATTTTAGGGTGTTTGGGAACGTAAGCGTGAGGTGCCTCTTGGAAATTATTCCCACCGTACTGCCCATTTTGCTGGCCTGGTCTCTTCTTATAAGAGCTGTAATCGAAAAGACCCTTCTTTTTGTCTCGGAAGTCAAACTGGAACTTTTCATGGGACTCGAGGGGATCAAATCCATTTGCTAAATCATCGTGCTTCTTGTTTATTTGAACCCCGCCGAAACCGCCTTCAAGGGCTGGGTTGACCCCATGGTTGCCAAACATCCTTATAGGAGGCCCGCCACCACCCTTCAGTAAACCATTCTTACCGACAGTTTTGCTTTTAGGTCTATTCTTTTTGTCGTGTTTATTAGCTCCGAATCCTTGATTGCCAATGTCATTGTTCAGATTAAAAGCTGCAAATCCTTCGGCAATTTTCTGGGCATCGTCAGGGTCTTCTTCTTTTTTAGGGGGCTTGAAAGCTCCTATTCCGAAGCCGTTATTGTGTTGAGGCATAAATGCACCAGGCTGCCTGTTATCTATCTCTTCAAGGTCTCCCAGCCTATGGTTGTTAGTTTCATCTTCTTTCTCATCTTTTCTGTTGAAAGAGCGTTCGTCAAAGGGGAGAATCACGTTTGCCGCACCGTCCTTATCGAAACGGTAGTTTTTTAAGTTTTCTGGATGACCGAGAACTCCAGCTCCAGCTCCTGGGACTTCGTTCTCATCATCAACATCACCGCCATCGATCACGTCAAGTCGCTCTTTCTTCCTCGAGGCGATTCTGTCTCTCATTTTTTTCTCCAAATTATGAAAAACCCCACCCCCTTCTTCCTCATCGCCAAAAACCTGGCCTCTTTCAGGGTTTAGCAGATCTTCTTTTTCTTCTTCACCGGCACCGTCTCCTTCTTGTTCTTCTTGTTCTTCTTCTTCAGCATTTAGAGTATCGTCGAAGGGTGGAGCTTGGAGAGGATCTGCCTGTTGTATCTCCTCTTCCTCCTCCTCCTCCTCTTCCCCCTCCTCCTCGCTCATATCGGCTCCAGGAGGAGGAGCAGGTCTTGGCATATGGTCGTCTCCGAGGTCGCCTTTCTCCAGTCGTTTTTTGTCCACTCCATGGGCAAACAATCTCTGGCCCACAATGTCCCCGTTCTGATTTCGAATTAGGTGTTTCTCTGGAATCTGTCCCACTTTAATGTTTTCTTGAAGGTCGTCCAACTCTTCATTTTCATCTCCTTCCTCGTTTCGTGTATCGTCATCTTCTTTGTCCTTGACCAAATCATTCAGTTTCTCCAAGTCTTCATATTTGCTCTCGTCCTCTTCCTCTTCTTCTTTGTGCTGGACCAAGTTACTCAGTCTGTTCTGGAGGTTTTTCTGAAAAGCGGAGAAGCGTCCTGAAAAAAAGCAAGAAACAATTTCGGTAAGACTTTCCTTTTTATTTTTTAAATTTTAATTTATGCTAGCCTTCCCACCCCCTCTCCCTGCCACCCCCCCCACCCTACCCCTAAGCGCTTGAAAAGGGTAAATCCGCCTCACTACGAAACTCTCAGAAAACAACCCCCTATACTCACAATACCAACCAACTCTCTCTCTCTCTCTCTCTCTCTCTCTCTTATTATATATCAGCAACCAGTAACAACTGAATAACCTCAAAATTAATTGCAAACACCCCGACAAAACCTGCTGCGTGCAGATGATTTTTATTGATCACTTTCCTCTTTGTCGTTTATCTTGCCAGTTTGAAAACCTTTTGGACTCCAAGCCTCCAATTTCCCAATACCAATCTGCATTGCGGTGAGCTGAAGGAAAGACAGAGAAGCACGTTTCTTAAGGGCATAACCTCATTTTTCCCCCTTGAAGCAGAGAATTGAGCTTACAAATCTGAGCTTTTGAAAATGTTGGTGAAAGTTCCAAGGTCGAATCTAATGAGTTTTTAAAAAATATTGGTGTTATTATGGCACCATCGTCACAATTTAGGTTTAAATCATTTAAAGGGCAGGCTCCTACTCTGCCTTTAAGGGCCAAACGGTCTGAGAGGGATACAGAATCCAGGAATCGAACTCAGGTCTTCTGCGTGTGTCGGCGAAGTGCATAAGAGCTACAATATAGACACCGGTTTCCTTTCACTTCCCCAGGCTTAAAGTGAAAAGAGAAAAGGTCGAAAAGCAGCTGGAGAGAAGGAATAGTAATACGTGGAAACTGGACAACGAAAACGTTACAGAGATACTGTGTGGTCGGCACTATACCAACGAGATTGTTGCATCTTTGAATACAGAATTAATTACACACTTCCTTCTGCCCTTTCGGAGAATGGCTGTACCCTAAACTTCTTCTAAGCTATTCTAGTAGGCTAGTTGGAAGTTGCTTCTCGCACCATTCTGTCAGGTGTGACTCCAACGTATCTCTTGTCATTTAGCCCACCTGAGTTGTCTTGGTTCCAAACCAGGTTTATGTTCTTTTTTCCCCATTCCCCTTTGTTTTAGTAAGCGTTTTACGGCATTTGGGTCACACTTAAGTCATGCAACTGCTGAAGATTAGTGGTGATACTTGAGAGTAACATGCAAAGAATTGAAGGAGGAGAGATTTTATGGCAAGGGCAATAGATATCAAAATTTGATTGGAAAGAAGGAACAAACGACACCATTCACCCACCAACCACCCACTCTTGAACTAACTACGTGATGTACATCAAACTCACGCAACATAATTTATTTACCTTGATCAGGTCTCCTGTGCCCATCCTCATCAATATGCATGTTCTGCACGTCTCCAGGCCAGCCCATCTTGCTGGTGAGCGAGGAGTCGTGCTTGTAGAAGACCAGGTAAGACGCCACAGCCGCGCTGGTCAAGATGAGCACCACCAGGAGATTCTTCACCCGGCGTCGTGACGTCATGTTGCGTTTGTCCCACTTCTTAAAAGCGTCTCTCCGGAACGTCGTCGAGTTCGTGGTGACGCCTGATGTGAGCATAAATGGCTTTTAGCGGGTTCGTCTGACGATGATTGACAAAGACCCTTCTCCAACTGAAAACTCAAACTCCCTTTGTTTCGTTTTTTCCCACTTGCTCTTTCCTTGCACGATCAAGCAGTTCTTTTGCTTCCACTGAGACTCGGGGTCAGGTGTAAACATTCACACAATCCAGGTTCTAATTTGTTCCTTTATGGTTTATGGTAAAGTTTTGTCCTTCATGGGAACCATAGAAGCAATCGTTACTCCCCGATCAAAAGTTAGATTGTCAGTGTTTGACAGATTGAGTCACAGGCGCGGCGTTGCTACTTTTTTGTTAATGAAATGGTAATACACGAAGTGAGCAATGGGCGGACATATACCATATAAATAGATAAATAAATAAATAAAAGAATAAAAAAATAAGTTAGTAAATAAATAAATGAGTAAATAAATAAATAAATAAATAAACAAAAAAATGAATAAAAATAGATAAACAGAAGCAGTTTAGTATAGTTTCAATAAGTGTTTTACCGTGCTTACGACACAACTAGGTCATATTTGTGCCGATGATTAGATATGTTATGAGAGAGTAACGTTACCCCCCCCCCCAAACAAACAAACAGAAAACCCCCAACAAAATACAAGGAGAGGTGAGGATGATCGATGTTTGATAAGAAGAAATGAGCAAATCACACCACAGAAGCAGATCACCACGATATATTGATGATTTAGTTATGGGTTAAAAGTAAAAGATAATACAATAGGCAGAAACATACTCTCACAGGTAGTTAACGAAAAGGACCCATAGTTGACATTCAGCAGTTTTGCTGAACAACGAGGCCACATTTCAAAGAATACATTATTTATTGTGATCCATTCATTATCACGAACATTATTTGTAACTCTCTTCTGTGAAAGAAATTGTTCTACATGTATATACATCGAAATCAATTTTAAACAGGAATATTAAGTTGCAAGACATTTAAAATAAAGTTACTTTGGCACAACACTACTTGCTCCTAATATCCGCACATGAAAATGAATGAACAAAGCTCTATAAGTTAGGAATAACCATTAAATATGAATCTACTGGATCAAAAGAAGGGAACTCTCGAACAGTGGGACAATCTCACGATACACCCCAGGAAGAAAATACTCCAACTAGTCCAATACTGAAAATGGAAGATTTTGGTCTTCAGCGAAATAATATGTCGAACATAATATATCACGTGGCAACAATTTCATCATCTACAATTCACAAGGTTTTTCCAGCAATCATGCATCATTCCAGAACATTTCACAATAAAAGACAAGCCTTCTGTCTAGCCCGAAGTAGTAAGGTATATCATGATCTTTGGAACTTTTCACTACCAACAGTGCTGCAAGCAGAATTTGTCCAAACTCCGGACACGTAACAGCAAAAGTGAAATCTCGGAAGAAGAAAAAAAAAATCGAATCAGTCTGTTACACCCACCGCACAGAACGCTCAATGACTGACCTCTAGGGAAGGGGGAAAATCACAAAGAAAACGTTTTCGATTTTCTTGAAATCCGAGCTGTTACAAAGTTGTCGATAATAGGATTTGAGTTAAAAGAAAAACCAACGGAAAGAGGGAAATAGGTGTGTTTCTGATGACAGTTCATGCCGCAGTTTGAATGTGTGTGCGTGTGTGTGTGTGTGTGTGTGTGTGTGTGTTTGTGTGTGTGAGTGAGTGGATGTTTATGTTTATACGCGCGTGTGTGTGTGTGTGTGTG